CTTTTACATAAGTATTGGTTATCTATAAATCTTCCACGATAAAAATATATATATATGCTATAAAAAGAATGCATGAATTATAAAATATGATTTGTTTTAATGGTTAATGGTTGAAACAAATAAATGTGCTAGACATCTAAGGTCACATAGCACTATTTTTATTTAGAAGACATTATTTTCCACTACAAAATATTGCAATGAAACCAAAACACACACATATCACATTACCCGTTGATAATGATACACCGGAAGTCATCACTCACATCACATAGATTCACAGGTCCATTGTATATATCCACAACAGCACATCCGCCTCCCTCTGACATGTCCACATTTGTTTCCGAATCTCCTTCCAGGATATCCGCTTCTGTCATGCCTTCATCTCCACATGCTGAACGTGTCTCTTCATCCTGAAGCGGTAACAGGTCATTTTCTTCTTTGATCTGAGGGCTTAATGCTCCTCTAAAAAGATCCAGTGTCTCAGGGTATTTCTGTTTTGTGTGATAATTACATTGCTGTATTTTAAAATTGTCTAGGTTCTTTCCCTTGTATTTCTGAACGAGGGTCTTGGTGAATCTCTTTGGTTGTTTATCATAATCATATTGGTCCTGTATCTTTTTTAAATTTCTCTTATGGTCTTGTTGTAAAACTGTCTCACTTTTCTTCTTGGTCAACCCGTATGTCAAAAGTTTTCTGCTTGTTCTCACCCTCCCTTTGGACTTCAAATTGATGGTTACTCCCCTTCTTAAATCCACTTCTTTTGATTGTCTGCTTCCTTCACAATTTACCCTATTTTTTTGAATTACCTGCATGTGTACCTTTTTATTAATAACATTCTCTCTAAAAATACCAGCACTATGTTCTGTCACATTCTCACTTGCTTGTTCATTATTTCCATATACATTACCCCTATTATTTACATTATCTTGTATATGCGATAACATCAATTCATCTTCCTTATTCTGTAGCATTAATTCATGTTTGGCCCAGAAAACATGTCTAAGAGTTGGTGGATACTTTGGTATATTTTTCTCCTGACTCTTAGGATCAATTTTCAAACTGAATGCTTTCTTGTGATGAATTTCAGAACCTACTTTGCTGTCTATATCTAGTGAACTATTCACTCCTAATCTAGACATTGCTTCAGATGCAGAAACTGTTGAAGTGATATCTCTATTGGTCTTGTGATAACTTAAAAGGTGTGTAAGGAAGGTCCCCTGATCTTTAAAGCTTTGACAACATGCAGTGCAAGTGAAGTTATTGTTAGATTTACAGACGGATGTTTTAAGTGATTCACTATTTTTCTTTTCTCCATCACTGGATGTCAATTCTTGGAAATCCGCATTCATTTTATGGACAATTTTCATATGAAAATGCCACTCACATTCATTTTGAAACTTTTCCTCACAATAATTACAATGATAACTAAGTTTCTGAGAATCATTAAGATTTAAAGAGAAATTAACACACTCTGACATCCTTCCTGGCCATAATCTACTCATTTTAGAGGCCAAAGAATATACATGACTATATGCAGAATCTCCTTTCATCACTAACTCATGGCAATCCTTACAGAGGTCAGTTTTTTTGTGTAACTGCAAAGTATCCTGCAATGAGAGAGAGACACTGTAACATCGCAAGAGTGACACAAGATCCAGCCCACTCAGAGGAAGTTCAAAGTCGACCCCGATGCAGACTCCATCCCCACTAGTCACAGTCCCTTTACACAGAAAGCACTGATCAAACTCCTCGCTCCTTTCCCTCTCCTCGAGGGGATTTTCCAACCTTTTCACTCCTCTCAGAGATTCCATTTTCTCTCTTGATACCTGGTTTTGAGTACGATTCCCACACAGCTTCTTTCCTTGTCCTCCTCTCACTTATATATCTCCTGCTATCACCATCTGCACACTTTCCAACACTGCTACTCGCTCCTTCAAAAGGCACTCATTGTTTGCATTCTCCTCCTTCTCGCATTCCTCGCATTCCTGGTTTTCCCCATCTCACATCTTCCTTCTGTCACTCTGGAGTAAAGTTGCTTTTCCTCTGCCATGGGAATCTCCACCTGGCTGTATTGGATAAAAGAATATCAGGCATGTAGAGGAATAGGTAGATATAAAGATGAAACTAAATTGGTACAGTATAAAAATAAATAATAATAATAATAAAATAATAATAATAATAATAATAGCAATGATAATAATAGCAATTATCATTATCATTATCATTATCATTATCATTATCATTATCATTATCATTATCATTATCATTATCATTATCATTATCATTATCATTATCATTATCCCATTACCCATTACCATTACCATTACCATTACCATTACCATTACCATTACCATTACCATTACCATTACCATTACCATTATTACCATTACCATTACCATTACCATTACCATACCATTACCATTACCATTACCATTACCATTACCATTACCATTACCATTACCATTACCATTACCATTACCATTACATAACGATAACGATA